GAGCCAGCTGCCAATGGCCGGTTTGAATTGGCTGATGAGAGGCAGAAAATTCTTGGGCCTTGAGATTGGAGATTATCTCGTTTGAATGGACAGACTTGAAATGCGTCGAGATGGGGAGGGCTGTGTCGTGGCCCCGAGGTGATCAATTATCGGGCTTGATGGCCTGTCGTTTCTACAACATTTGGCATCGTGAAGGGTTTTGCAATTGGGACGATATGCGGTTATGTAAGCAGTTTGCTTAGCTAAGGGGTTTGTTTTGTTCTAGAAGGATATCACGTGGGTGGGATCTCAACGTTCCTTCTTCCAGCGATCTGTGGGCATAAAGGAGTGGTGGATTTGGCTGTGATACTTGAATCACTGAATTTAGGTACTCGCCAGAGTGGCATTTGGGGTTTTCCGTCTTATTTCTTTGATTCATGCTTAGACATGGTAGTAGGATGAGCTGCTTTTGGAGAGTTTGAGTGTACGGCGATCTGGAGTTGTGAGTTCTGTCTGGAATTGGCTTACTAAGACATGGACTTGGCGTGTCATCGTGTGTCTATAAAAACACCGTTGATGAAAGATACTGGGGACATGTGCCTCACGGATTTAGTGGCAGCTTTTGAGCGCTTGCTATTACGTGTCCGCTCAGCCCGGAGGATGCTCATCCTCACGGACAAGGCAAGCTTAGCCGTCGGGGACCTTGCATGGTGCCATGTGACGTTGACAGCCTCGGCGGGATGGGCTAGCGGCATCATCTCTGAGCAAAGGCGCCTTTCCCCTCTTGCTTGCTTCTGGAGGCTTTGGATGCCATCCAACTTGGTTTAGCCGCCAGTGGAGGGTGTCGATGATGATGATGATGATGCCTAGGAGAGAGATTAAGCGGCAAGAGGACCGTGAATGGAACCACATCTAGGGAGACACCGACATCTAACAGAACCGCAAAGAATTCGCTCAGAGTTCAAGCAATCCAAATAGCAGGAGCAGCACGAATGGGCAGGCCAGCGGGTTGAATCACCCATAGAGAGCTGGATTCGTCTCTGAAACGTCATCTACACAGTCACCAGTCCGGCGACCTCGAAGGACGGCAAGTATTTGGTAGCTGGCACAAGCACGAAAGGGCGCCGTGATACCTGTACGACCAAACTCCGGGAGAACGCATGATGCGCGCCTGCATCTCCCTTTGTCTCGTCCTTGTCCATCTTTGATTCCCCTCGAGATGAAAGTTGCTGGCACGTCGAGCCAATGAACCATTCTGTTGTAGTTCCCTTGCTAGTGTGCGACCAATTGCGCGGGACCCTTTGCCCATGCAAAAAATGGTCGCATGTGTTGGTGCTGTTGAGGGGCCAGGCTGAGACATCACGAGGACCGCAAAAAAATAAAAAAATAAAGAGGAAACAAGCTTGTTCAGGCCTGGGGCGAGCAAATGCGCATGAAAACGGAAGTCTGGTGCAAAAATCCCTGTCTGTCGAATGAGATGGAAGAACCAAGGGTCTTCTTTTTCCGTCCCTGATCAATAAGGACCCCTCGTCTTGTCTTGATGGGTGGTGCCGAGGTGGCGGATGTCTCGCAATGACATGCTTGGGGACTGTCGCTTATATCCTTCCCAGAGGGCCATGTGAGTCGCATGTGCAGGCAGCCGATTGAGGGGAGGGGATTTCCCGGTTCGCAATGGGCCGTCAGACACTGCCATTAGCCAGAGAGCAAGCAGACAAGGGCATCCGAATGCCAGGCAGAAATTGCTTGCAGCAAAGTCAACGCGGGACGCAGAAGAGGGGGCCGATGAGGCTGAAGTGGGATGAGCTGCTGGGTGTAAGTCGTCAGAGGAGAGCAAAACGAGTCGTCGATGCCACCACACATCTCGCCCGTTCCAAGACATCACATCTCCCCAGTCCCTGGAAATGGAGGTGGTACCAGAACGGTGTCGTGGAGCCCAGAAAGATGGGGATGGCGGTCGGAAAGGAAGAAGAAGCAATGACAGCAGGAATAGATGATGAAAAACAAGTTGAATCACATGGTAGCACTTTGTGGCAGCCTAGCGAGACTTGAGGGAGCCGAAAATGGCACGGATGTGCGAAGGTGGCCGCTGCATTCAGCAGCCGGTCCATATCGACGCTGCCACGTCAAGGCGATGCAATATAAGCTGGATGGTACTAGGTAGGTAAGGGTTGTAAGTCAAGAGACTCAAGATACCCCGTAGCCTCGCATTGGATCATTCTGCATGTGCCGGCTGCTTGTCCAGATACCTTGCCTTGCCTTGTATTATCGATCCAATGTTTCTTGTGGTGGCACTGGGGGCTTCAGGTACGGGCGGCACATCCATGGATGTTTGGAGTACATTGAGGGACCCGACTGGAACAGCCTGTAATAGACGCTGCAGGTGGTTTCTACAGTGAAGGCGGTACGGAGGACTGGGGCTTTATTAGCGATCGGCTGAGACAGCCCTCCGGAGGTTTCCTGTACCCGCAGGGTCCCGATGACGACCGTAGCCAGCCCTGTACTCGGTACCTGAATGCCCCAAAACTTGCGCATGTACGTCACAGCCCGAAAGAGTCGCGGTCGCTTCCGCTTCCGCCTCCCCTACCTTACCTTACTCCTACTTTTGCAGTAGTAGCTGTCTGGGATTCTCCCCTCATCACACCTCGTCACAATCCTTGGCCAGCTGCCTCGCCGTCCTGCCTCCTCCTCCGCATCCCTTGGGGGTTTCGTTTCCTGCGTCAGAATCATCCCGACTGCGACTGCGACTGCGACTGCGACTGCGAACCGAGCGAGAGACGAGTCCCGACCGGCCTGCATCAGCCCTTCCGCTGCCGTCCCTCTTCATCAGGTTGTGCCCGTCCAGCGCATCCTGCTTGTACATCCATACGCGTACATCCGGCAGACGGTCATCCATGCACCTGCAGTCGTAAAACTCCATCCGCACCGCCAGCAGACTCCAATCAGACAGACAGCAGACCCGCGATCCACCGCCGGCCGACCCTCTGCTCCTCCCAACCTAGCGGGATCGCTGCGTCTAACCCAAGCCAAGCCGCTGCCTTGCGTCACGCTGCCTTGTGCGAGTCTAGCCCCCAAAGGCACCAAGAGCGAAGCAACAAAAATACTGCAACAGCACGAAAAGGCACCGCGAATATCAGCTCACCCACCCCAGAGGCTTACGGCACTCAAGGTACGAGTAGCTCACGCAAACTGGTGGTTTGGCGCCTGTCACACCAAAACGCACCTCTCACTTCTCTTGCGCACTCAGCGGGTCCGCTCGTGTCATCTGAGGAACGACAGCGGCCCCCCCCCCCCCCCCCCCCCCCCAGCAGGTACGACGTGCGAAGCAGCATCTGCTTCACCAATATTGGTCGCCACCCCCGTCTGCCTTCTTCCCCTTCGCAGGGCAGCGACGAATGGCGGCCCTTGAATCGCCTAGCCGTCCTGCGTGCCGATAAAACACTCGTCGGTCCTCTTCTGCTCTTCCACCTCGCCGTCCTCATCGCTGCCATCGCTGCCCATCGCCGTTATCGTCGTCCTCATCGTCTGTCCTTTCCCTGTTCCTCCGATCATCCTCTCTCTCCTGTCGATCGCGCATACACGGCCCTTGTACATTGACTGCGTCTTCATTCCCTGATGACAGTACTATCAACACCATCGTACTAAAACCGAGCCTGTCTGCAGTTGCTCCAACGACCAAGCTGTGAATCAGCAGACGCGTGCATCTTTGCTCGCCCGCAACCCGTCGACTGGCAGCATCTCCCGCTGAGCCCTTCGGCTCCGCCATTCGCCTCGCTAAACTCGCTCACACCAACCTTCCCACCACCACCATCATCATCATCATCGGCTACCGACGAGACATAATGGCCGACCAGAGGAGCGTTGGCGGCGATTCAACGCCCCGAGCGACCAATGGCACGTCGCCCAACCCGATAGAGCAGTTCAAGAAGGAGAGCAAAAGTAAGAGACGAAGCCTTTTCGGTTTTGGCAAGAAGAAGATGGAGGGCTCTTCCAAGGCTGGCCCTGGATCCGAGAGCCCGTATGGCACCCAGTCACCGTCAAAAGCATCGACCACCCGCTCGACCGCTCGATCAACCGCGTCCCCCCTCCCGCTCACCCAGGGCGACCCTGTTTCCCCTACCCGTGCGTTCTCCGGTTCGCCGAGAATATCCTCGCCTGCGACGTCGCAGATATTCGAACGTGACGTGCAAGACCACACCTTGTTGAAGTCGTCGTCTCCAGCCATTCCGAGCCACATCCAGACGGAAAACTACATCCCCCCGGTGTTGGATGATGCATCAGAAGCAATCACCAACAATAGCTTGGATCCCGATTCCGTTGAGATTGTTACTCACGCTTCGCATCAGCCCGCCTCGGCGGTCGTCCCTGGCACAAGCGCCAGCCACACCCCGTACGAGCAGACGTCGAGCGACTGGGCTTCGGAGCTCGCCTCGTTTGCGAACCGCATAGGTTTCCCGCCCGACAGCGCTTCCAACTACGGCTCGCTCGACTCGGCCGACGTTCGCCGCCTTTCCTTCATCTCGTTTGCAGACGTTGTTCAATCGGAGCACAGCGGCCACCACCTCCCTTCCATGTCATCGCGCGATAACATGCACATTGTCGGTCTGACGTCGCTTTCCGCGTCGGCCATGAACAGATCGCCATCGCCCATCCGCTCACCCGTCTCCAGCCAGGGCCCCGGGACCAGCCCGCCCACAAGCAACCCTGGCAGCATAAAAGGGTTGGACATGAGCCCGTCAAGGAAACCGATAGGGAGCCCCTCCAGCGGGCACTATACTGCAATCACGACGCCAGGCGAGCTCAACATTGAGACGATGAGTCAGGCACTGAAACGCAGCGCGAGCAGGGACTTTAACAGCAGCGTGCGCAGCAATCCCCAGAGCCCGATTGAGGGACCGGGTTCACGGTAAAGGGGATCGAGCGAAACGGACTTGAGCCATGTCTTGGGACGATAGCGACGCCACGAATCCGTCCAAGGCAAGCTCATGGCTGGCCTATTCTCCCCCGTCCTGCGAACCCTGTGTTTATCATATTTAATTCTCCTCGTCGACGTACGAGCGAGCTTTCTTTTCTTTTCTTCAGCTATGTTATTTGATTCGACATTGCCGGCTTACCGCGCGGATTGTCGAAATTGGACAATTGAGGGTTGCAGGAGTTGGGAGAGCTATGTTTACATCCGGCGCTGAGCTGGCGGTGGCCCTCAAGGCTTTGTGATGCTTTTCCCTGTCTGGTTTGTTGTTCCGTTCTACGACTCCTTCTTGCTTATGGACAACAGGAAGTTGCTCCCCTTTTTATCTACAACGACGTGAAAAGAATGGGATGATTATTGACCGATACGGGACGAATTTTGATTATCTTTTATCTTGTTCCATTTCTTCTTTTCTTACTCTGCGGGCAAGCGGTGCGAAGGAGTGGAACCAGCTTGCTTATATGTCGATTACACCTTACTTGAATGATTTGTACCAAGTATGAAGAGAAGTGAATTCAAGCACATCTGACGTTTCTGAACTCATAGCCATCGTCGTCTGGTTCTATATGTGCATGTGTCGAGGAAAAGGGAGGTAAATGTTTGCAAACGGGACCTTTGCAAAACAGCTCGCTGTCTCGTTGACTGCAAGTCAGTTGTAGACGTCAGTCCTCCCCACGCAAGCAAGCAAGCAGGAGAAACATGTCGGTCATCTCTCATCTTGTCGTGTCGTGTCATGTCGTGTGCACCGTACCTTGTTCGTACCTGTATATGCATGCACCTCGAGTCATGCAATTTGCCCCCTCAACTTTTGGCAGCGAAGAGGTTTAAATAAGACAAAAAAGGGCTAATTAAAAAAAAAAAAGAACCAAGAAAAAAAGAAAATTGACTAGAGATGCCGAGATTATTCCACTAAATGCAGTTCAATTGGTGTATTTCTGGGGGGTGGAGGATGCAATTGGTTGCGTGAGAGTGTTGGTGAGAATTTGGGAGTCGGTCTTTTTTTGCATTTTCTCTCATTGTTCTGGACAGTAATGTAGGTATAGATGCCAGGAAAGCGGAGCTCAACTGCTCTTGTTTCCTTGAAGAGTTCTGTATCTCGTCATAGTAGCTTCCAGTTGCGGTAAATTATCTAGGCAGATATGAAAATATGACGGGGCAGATATTATAGTGGTGAAGATGGCTTCAACATAAGATGATACTGCCGCCCTCTTTTGTTTCAGATTTCCGCGTGTGAGAGATTCGTCACCCGCTTTTTTTCGTTCAACTCTTTCATCTCTTTTCTGTCTTTTTCTCCCGGTCAGCTTATGTTGGGAAGAGGGGGGAACTGTCTTGTGCGGAATGGGAGGGGGGTTTCAGATTGATTGTGAGATCTTTTGTTTTTCTTCTCTGCCTGGATTCGTTGTGTGTTTGAAAGAGTGCTACAGTGAGATATGACTTTTGAAGTCGATGGAGGTAGGATCGCTGTAAAAACTAGAGATGTATGCTACTGGGCCAATAGCTCTACTGATGGAAACTCTAGAATCAGCATCAACCTTTTCGCAATAAACCAGATCCTCCCCTTTCCATCATGTGAGCATCCAGGCATAGGCCAGAAGCTAATCAATGAGCACCTACACCTGAACCCTTTCTTCCCATCAAGGTCACACCATCAATCGAAGCCCGTCAGGAACGCCCGCTTGATTCGGGGGGCCAACCCCAACGAATGGGCTTATCTAGTAGTACAAGCTCGGTTCATCTTCCCGTCGGACGGACGGAGGCTGAGGTGCTACTATACTAGCGGTGGGAATGATCCTCCAAGGACGACTCGAGTACGAAGCACGAAGCTGGCGTGTGAGGCGTGATTTGGTATTATTCGTCTCTGCTCAGCTGGGAGATGATGAATTGAGTTCAAGATTGTCTCAGCTGGTTACGCCAATTCTCCAGCAGGAAAAGACGGGTGCCACAGCGGTTGGTTTAGTCGTAATACCTTGCCGTGCCGTAGGTATGCTCGCATGCATGTCTCGCAGCGGGAATTACTGGCGTCGACGGCTCAAACCTGTTCCTGGCCTGTTCCTGGCCTGACCTGAATTGTGCTACGAGACTTCGTTGTTAGCACAAACAGTGTCACATCGAGTCTTTGGCTTTCCACGCCTTGTCGATGCCCTTGTTACCTCGTCCTCCTGTCGTGTCCAGAGGGCCCCGAATTGTCGGTATATGGAGCAGCCAAGCTCAATATTGAAACTGCCGCCATTTTAATGTACCAAGTGTTATCACAAGTAACCCCCCTTTCGTCTATCCCTTCGTCATCAATCACCCCTCCTTTTCTCCTCTTTCCGTTTCCTTTTTCTATTTCCAGTCGTCTATCGCGTCAGTGATGAGATAATCTCGAGCGGCATAAAGTGTAGACGAAAACGAAAATCACCATCTGACCGATCCAAAGGGCGCTACTCAGGGACAGGCCCTCCAGGCTCCGGCCAGACCACACCGTAAATAGCCTGGCCCCCGGAGCACGTACCTCAAAAGAAGAGGGCCAAAGGAAAAAGAAAAGAAAAAGAGGTCAGACCCCTGCTGGGCTGGCATCATGGATCTGTGGGGATGCTTCTGGCAGAGCTGTGAGTGACTGCCGGCTTATTCCCTGTCCCTTGTCCTTTGCGAGTCTGTACGCAGCAGTTGTACTACCTCTGTACGAGTGCAAGTTCACGCAACTGCAGGATGAGCAAAGCTGCTTTGAAATACACAATCATCCGTCGTTTAGCATTCCAAACCTGGCGGCACTGCTTGCAAGCATCACGAGAGTCAGCTTCACGCTGGGGAGCGGTGCGATGCCTAATCCCTGGGACGCTCCTCGACCTAAGATCCAGGTCGACGGTCCGCTCACGAGGGCTCACCGACGAGCCCCAGCAAATAGAATTGCTTATTATGCAAGACTCCGGGTTCGAGAACAGATCCTGGCACACCGCTTTTGGCGATGCTGAGGCTTTCCTGTCTTCTTCTCTGTGACGTCCCCTGCTTCCCGACGTCAGAGAGACGTCTAGAAAGATCGAGTGCAGAATACGAGTGAAGCCCGCGTCCTCCGTACTCCTACATGCTCGTAACCCTGCACTCGCCAGAGCATCGCTGTAATGCTGGCTTGGAATCCTTTCGTACAAGTACAACTCCAGAGCATCGTGAGCGGTTGATGCTGTCTTGATCCATGTCATGCCCAAGCTCCACCGTGACGCCACTAAGCCAGCAGGCCAGACATGGTGCTGATGGGCTTACGGCAGGTTGTTGCGATGGCTTCAACGCTGGGCTTCGTCTTCCGAACTCGATTGGCCCGGCCGTCTTTCCGTCCGTCATGCCAACAAAGCCTTTCTTTGTTGTTCTACCTCGGATTCCACTGCTTCGGTGCAGACGGTTGAACACGGCATCACCTGTATAACGCATCATCAGCCGCGCGTAAGACTGGGTTGGTGGCACAGGGCTCCGTCCATATCACTTGATAGTACTCCATACTGTAGGAACTCATGACACGGGAGACAGGTTCATCATCCTCGTCGTCCTCATTCCCTATCATCATCGCCGTCGTCAGCCGCTAGAGTCTGGCCAGGCAAGGAACAGAACATGGATGGAAGATACTTTGCCTCAATATAGAAGAACGCTGGCGCCCGACCCCAGCTAGTATTGTAGTCTAGCAACGTCAAAGATTGATTCCCGGGGTGGTTTCGCTGCCTCGTTCTTTATTTAGGCAGAGAGGGAACACGGGACGGTACGACTGACGATGGCTTTGCTTAGTACATGTCCATCCCGTTAACGGTGAGGCCCTGCTTGTCGTTGTGATGTGTGGTTATTATTACAGAGCCAACTGCGCGTGCTCGAGCAATCCTTCGTATCTGTACAGCAGGGAGGCTCTCGGTGATGCGCTGCTTGGTTGCATGTTGCCTGATGTACAAGTAGTCCTGCATCCTGTGCTGTGTCCTGCCGGCTGCCGCCTGGTCATAGTCATACCAGGAGCATCGTGTGTTTTTAATAGCATCAACTGAGACGCGAGACGTCTCGCTGGGTGCTTTCTGAGTCCATGATATGACAGGGGAGAGGATGGATATCTGAAGGCGATTAAAGGTACCTACCTTAAGGTATCAACTGTTTGATCCTTCCCAGCCTCGAATTCAGATGGAAGTGCTCCCTTCCTGCCACTTCCAATTTGAAGAACCTCGTACAAGTACTCGTACGGCTCCTTCCGTCCAAGCTGCCATCGAGCCATCGGGATTCCCTGCTCGCATTTGATTCCTCTCCAGCGTCATCCTTCAATCCGCCTCACCCCAGATCTCTCTCAAGCAATCTCACCTTATACAGCGGGTGTCTTGGTTCTTGCCTTTTCCCTATCTGAAGCCCCGTCCAGGTACCAAGTCAGGGCTCCTCTCACCTGTCGTTAGCTTCCCGCTTCACCTGCCGGAAGTGTCCAGAAGCCCGGTAGTGGCTGTTGAGGGGAGAATACCTAGCAGACAAGGTCTGCTGCCTAGGTACATGACCTGAGAGCGCAGGAGACATTGGGCATTGCACAGACAACCTGGAAGCGCCCCAGAATTGCCCGAGAAGCTGACATTGGCCAAGCCCGGGAACCGAACGACACGACACGAACCCAACAGAGCACGTCGGCGTCGGCGTCTGCATCTGGTCTGTGTCTGCCCCGAGTCCTCGGATTGTGGGCAGAACAGCACCAACAACCAAGGACGAAGCACCGGCCATAAAAACGAACGATTGCGGCATCTTGGCCGCCGCCAGGCCCACGGAAAGCGGGCACTCGTCGAAACAACGACGGGCAATTGGACTCTCGCCAGTCCATTTGTCCGGCCGAACAACTCCTAGAGCAGGGCCTCGTCGTCCACCGCCTAACTCGCAATCCCACCGCTCCGGTCCCATCTCCCACTGCCCGCAACCTCACTGGCCAGGGCCCTCCAGGGCTCCGTGCTGATCGACACCGCAGCACCGCGAAGTGCGTGGATGTGCCCAAGGGGTCCCCGCTCAAGGACTTGGGATTGCGCCTGTGGCCGCTGTGGGTTCTCGGAGAGGCACCAGACAGGTTGCTGGAGCCGGACGGACCACTAGGACACTCACACGACGTCAAGGCCCTTCTTCGAATTCTCTCTGGCGGCTTGTGGCTGGAACTCTATTCCCAGGGTGTGTCCGGCACCCATATCCATCAGCCAGACCGGACTGGTGGTCGAGCTAGTTGTAAGCACGCCAAACCGGAGACGACGAGTCGACGGAGGCGCTGTGCAGCCAAGGAGCGACTACTGCCGGTGCTGCCAGGGACAAGAGGCGACGGGCCAGCGTCGGCGTGCATGCCGCCGCCCTACCACGCGAGCTGGCAGCAGGCAAACTCTTTCCTGGCTAGCTGTGACTGGCTGGCTGCGGCGTTTGCCTGAGCCAACACACACATACACCACACACCACCATCTTTCTCTCTTCTTCCTCTCTCTCCTCTCTCTCTTCCAATCCATCGTGGGGGAGGCAACTGCGGACAACAGATCCAGAACCCTCCCCTCTGGCATCACATAAAATTCACTCAGCGCTTCCCGCTCCGCCGAATCTGGCCTAAATGCTAGCATCCTCGGTGCTCCGTCCACAGCGCAATACCTCCTACTACTAGCATCTATTGCTACCCTGCCGCATCCCCATTGTGCCTCCACTCCGGCCCTGCTGCAACCCCCATCTACTCCGTACAAGTCCCTTAGTCCGCAACGTAGCGCGTGAACAGTCCAAGAAGCAGACCAGAACCCCGCTACGACGACGGCAGCGGCAGCATCGTCGGTATTGGGGGCGTGAACGGCACGATACATGTACCTGAGGGTGACAAATGACGCTGATACCGACCCAGCGGCCAATTCGTCCCGGGTGTCGAGCAGCCGTCGCGCATTGCCAGGCCAATCGCTCCGAACCTGCCCCGTCTCGACGCTGTTGGGGCCACCGGAGCAAAGCAGCAACCGAACCAGCACCTGCGCCTGCATCAGCACAGGCCTCAGGAACGACAACGGCACCGACGACGACGTCAGTGCCAGCAGCAGCGGCAACGTCAAGAGCAGCACCACGAGTACGCGCAGTAATACCACAGGTACGAGAACCACGGGCGATAGTCATACTGCCAGTGGCAAGAGTAGCAGCAGTAGCAGCACCGGCGGCGGCGGCGGCGACGTTGGATGTGGCACTGGAGCCCGCATGGTGTTGAACAATGGCATGAGCATGTCACCGCCAGTCATGGATGGATATGCAACCCGCCTGCACGAGGGCGGTAGTAGCGATAGCGAGGACCAGGCCCTGCTGCAGCGGCAGCAACAACGACAGGGCCAGGATCAGAGCCTAGCCCAGAGTCGGCATCCCCCCCAGGGCCAGACGCAGCAGAAGCACCAGCACCAGCACCAGCGACAGCGGCCCCAGGCCCCTCTGGAATTTCACCGGATCAACTTGGAGCGCGTCAGCGCTTCGAATCTCAGGTCTTCATTTAGGGTCAATGCCAACCCGAGACCTGGTCGTTCTATCACACCTGACCTCCTCCCAGGTCAAGGTGGTGCTGCGAGCGCTGCTCTCTCTGATTCTACCATGGCCCACACTTCCCGTAGCATCGGCTCTCAGCAGGGCTCGCCTAGGTCTGTTCCCGGGAGCGTTGGCCGTCGTCAAGGTGTCGTCTTCGCCAGCGACGTTGCTTGCGACTCTTCGGATGGCACAGACTCCAGCCCCGCGACTCACCACCAGAGAAGCGCAAACGGTGCCTCCTCGATACGGCCCAGGACGCGCACAATGGACGCCTCGATGCTAGGGCCGCGAGGGTCCTCTTCCGCCGCCGAGTTTCGACACAGGGTCAGCAGCATCTCGTCCGGCTCACAGCCCGCCGTCGACGACCACAAAACGCTGAAGCCAAGTTCCGACCCGGCCAGCTACTCGACCATACCGACCGTCAGAGTCCCCGAGATCACGACCCCGACCTCCTCCAAGGAGAAGAGCAAGTCCTCCCATCACAACAGGCGGCTTCTCAAACGCCAGCCCTCCCGCCCGACATCGCCATTGGTCGAACCCCAGCCCTCTGTCGATTCTTTCCCGTACCCCATCCCAACCGAAGATGCGAACCGCTTAATATCGCTAATGAAGGCTCTGGGTGGGCGAATGCGTGGCGAGCTTGAATACCAGGGTGAGTACCAGGGAACATGGCATACCGGAATGGCATACATCGACGAGGAGAAGGGCACCCTCATGTTCGGCCTGGGCCACACCGGCCAGAACGCTTCCTTCCACATCCCTCTGGTCTCGGACCTGCGAGGCTGCAAGGTTCACGTCACGGGCTACCCTGATGCCGAGAGAGAGTGCCTAGAGGTTGTCCCCAACCAGATGGGCCTGGAGCTCCTCATCAGGCCCATCATATCCGAGGAGCTGGAGCTGTGGCTTGCGGCCCTCCTGTGCTGGCAGCAGCTCACGCCTCTCAATCTCAAGGTGCCCAGCGGGAAGCCCGCCAGCCCTTCGGGGCATATCCGCCCGGAGATGAGGCGACGGGCCAAGTCGAGCGATGCGGCGAGAGCGACAAACATCATCAAGGTCGGCAAGTTCATGCTCTGGGACAAGGGTCCCGCCAGGTCAGCACGTGCTCTCGTCCAGCGATCCTCGACCCGCGATCTCCTGCACCCGGCCATGTTCTGGAGGAGGATATCGTGCGTCTTGCAGGATAATGGAGAGTTTAGGCTTTTGATGGAGAACGACGTCTCCGTCTTGTCCAGCATCGAACTGTCGCAGCTTTCCCGGTGTGCCATCCAAGGCCTTGATCGCAGCGTCCTGGGAGAGGAGTACTGCATTGCCATCTTTCCCATCTACGCCTCTAATGCCACCCACGTTACCATTTTCCGACCCATCTACCTCGCTGTCGATAGCCGCATCGACTTTGAAGTCTGGTTCGCCCTGCTGCGGACATTCGCCGTGCCCGACATCTTTTGCCTGGACGACCCGCAAACCGACGAGATCCAGGATGTCGTCGATATTGAGAAGGATCAGCCAGGGGAGGTGTTCCGCATGGAGAAGATCGTCAGAGTCAGGGTGATAGAGGCCAAGATCAAGGCCAATCCTAGCGGACCCGAGTGGTTCTCGCCGGAACGATATGGCAGGGTTGGCCCGGATCCTCTGGTGGGATGTTACCTGGCGGAAGTGATTCTGGATGGCGAGGTCCGCGCGAGAACGACTACCAAGATGGATACGAAGAATCCCTTCTGGAGGGAAGACTGCGAGTTTAACGATCTGCCTCCGATAATTCAAGATCTCTCCGTTGTGCTGAAACGAGTCGAGAGCGGCCCTGACGGGTACTCAAAGCCAATGACTTCACAGGAGATAATATGCGGAAGTGTAAAAATCGCCTTGAACGACCTTGAGAGGGGCCAGGGACAGGAACAGTGGTGGCCGATCTTGGACGAGAAACAGCAAAACATCGGATCGATGCTCATCAAGGTATTCCACGATGAGCACGTTGCCCTGCTGTCGAAAGAGTACGAGCCGCTGTCCGAGGTTCTGCACCGGTTCCCCACGGGCCTCACCACCCTCATCTCGGCATCTCTGCCGGGCCAGTTGCGTCTCCTATCAGAGCTATTTCTCAACATCTTCCAGGCCTCGGGCTCCGCGAGCGATTGGCTAATGGCTTTGGTCGAGGACGAAATCGATGGCATAGGAAACCAGACGTCGATCAAGAAGTACCGCTTCAGCAATAGACTCAAGTCGAGCGAATCATTGGAGTCGTCCAACGAACGAGAATTGATGGTCCGTGATATTCACAGGACGCTGGCAGGAGAAGCCAACCTCCTTTTCAGAGGCAACTCGTTGCTGACGCAGTCGCTCGAGTTCCATATGCGACGATTGGGCAAGGAATACTTGGAGGAGATCTTGATGGATAAACTTTGCGAGATCAACGAACTGAACCCGGATTGCGAGGTCGATCCGAGCAAGTTGGCGCACACAGGAGCCGACTTGGATCATCACTGGGGCCGTCTCATCCACCTCACGACGGAAATCTGGCTGTGCATCGCGGACTCGGCCGAAAGGATACCGGCAGAGCTAAGACACATTCTCAAATACATCCGAGCCGTAGCAGACGACCGCTATAGCGACTTCCTCCGCACCGTCAGCTATACCTCGATTTCGGGCTTCCTCTTCTTGCGCTTCATCTGCCCGGCCATCCTGTCCCCGAAGCTTTTTGGACTGCTCCGAGATCATCCTAAGCCGCAAGCACAGCGCACCTTGACGCTCATCGCCAAGGCTTTGCAGAAACTGTCCAATCTTTCCACATTTGGAAAGCGAGAAGAATACATGGAACCGATGAACCGCTTCTTGACCCAACAACGACAGTCTTTCCGAGGCTTCATCGATCATGTTTGCAGTATCCCAGCAGACCGGACGGGCCGGGCCCTACCCCCCAGTTACATCACACCCGTCACGATACTGAACCGCCTGGGGCCTACGGCACGCGAAGGATTCCCCAGTTTGCCGTACTTGATTGATCAAGCCCGCAGCTACGCGAGTCTTGTCAAGCTGTGGGTGGATGCGCGACCTATCGATGCGAAACACCTGCAAGCCGACGGGGAGTTGCTGGTCTTCAACGATTTGTGTTTTGGGCTACAGAAACGCGCCGACGCTTGCCTTGCCAAAGTGGTGGATTTCCGGAACAGAGAGGTCCCATCGTACATGTCTGCCGACCAGCTTGCCGAAATCCTGGAACAGGTCAACTTCACCGGGCCATACCACCCGTATTACCCGGGCAGTCCATCTTCGATGCCCGGCAATTACGAGCAGCCACCCGGTAGTTCTAGCAGCGATGGCGATACAAAGCAAAATCGGCGCAGCAAAGAGTGGAAGCGCGGGAGGGACGATTCCGATACCAAGAAGGGCAACAGCCCTCGAACGGCAAGCGGCTCAGCCAGTGGGAGTACGAAACAGAAGAATGGGAAAGTGGGCAGGACTCTGTTGAGTGGCATCATGAAGATTGGTGGCGGAAGAGCCGAAAGCCCTGAGACAAAAGGGCAGCGGTGAACCCGCGCTTCATCATCTTCGACTACCACCAGATGTATAACACAAATAACGCATACATGAGTCGGATTTGGAATTCAACCGACGACAAGTTTGCACCAAGGGAGAACCCTCTACATCAGCTATTGATTGTTCTTTCTTCTTCTGTTGACTATATTCCGCGATTCGTCAAGCTACCCACATCTACCTCTTGTCGGGCTTTTTAGACGTTTTTCTTATTGTTGGATACACAAAAATGGTGTTGGGACATTGATGACTTTTGCATGGAGAAAGCTGTTGAAGCTTCACTCCCATCTTTCATTACGCTCTTTCGTTGCATCTTTCCGCTCCCAGTTACTTGGACCAGAACTCTTCCTTCCCGGAATGATTGCTGGAACTGTTATAGGGAGTCATCACTGGAGGTCCTCTCATTTCATATATATATATATACATCGCACAGTTGCCAGGTCCTCTCTTTTCCTCTTCCCCTCATTGTCCAGATGGCGGCTAATCATTGCCCGCTCATGATCTTTACGATGTGTCATTCTAGATATACGAGGGAAGAGAGAAGAAGGATAAAAGATACCAGCTCCGCCTAGCTCTCGTTACCGTCATTGTTTCCTAGCTCTCCGCATTTCCTTTCTTCTTTTTCTCTTGAACTGATGTATATCAAAACCGGTGGCTCGAGTGGAGGGACGAAGAAGGGGTTTCGTGCTTCTACCTCCTTTCCTCTTGTTTCTTGTCTCTTCTTTTCTTCTATCTTTTCAGTCTTTGCCCCCTTCCTCTCAGGGATGTTTAGAGGAAAGGGGGAGGTTTTCCTTTGACATCCAGGGCCTAGGAGCACAATGTGTGTGCATGTTACGCGCAACGGCAAAGCATTGTTAGATTGGGGTTCGCCAGTTTCGTGTTGTTTCTCTTTTCAACTTTGGCGGTATAGTTCTAGTTGGCATAGTGAGAGTGGGGGTTTTGGGAAATAAGCAAACGAGTTCCAAAGTTGCCACCAGTCTCTTTTGTCTTGGTCTTTTATTATTTCATTGACCGATGTATCTTTCATGTTTTTATCCTTGGAGTTGTCTGGTACTTGTGAGTGCATCTTTTGTACTTGATCTACTAGCCTTAATGTATTGCCTAATTGCTCTTCTACCGTATCATCGTGCTACTGTAGTGAAGCTGGTGATGTATCACATGTCGAGGTTATTCCGAGGAGACATTATCAAAACGCATGCTTGATGATACCAGACCAGACAACATGTTTTCGCATTTGTGACGGTAGGTATCTTCCCTTTCACATACCAAGTAAGTAAAGTATCGCAGCATAGAAAAGTGTGCGAGATTCTCTTCTCTAAACCTTTACGCCTCCCATGCTTGATCGAAAAATTTGCAAAGGAAAATCTCCGACTTCAACCTTTCTCCCACAACTGAATTTTATTTTGACTTCGCCTTATTTCTGACGCGTGTGCTCGTCCATTCCCGTCTTTTTATCCACCATACAATGCCTTTCTCTTGCCTTTCAATTATTGAAAGAATTTCTTGTAGGCGGCCTTCTCCTTTGCCGCCCTGGCAGCGGCCTTGCTCCGCACGGCGTTGAGCTCCGTGACGACTGCAGGGTCGTTGGGCGCCAGCTTGTGTGCCTCCTCAAGATCCTTCAGGGCCTCCTCCTCGTCCTTCAGGCGGACGTAGGCGAAGCCGCGGCGGTAAAAGGCCTTTGCGCGGTCCGCGGGAGCAACGCCGTTGACGGCGAGGGCGAGGGTGGCGCTGTTGACGGCCTCTGACCAGGCTTCGAGCTTGATGTGCACAAGGGCGGAGTTGTTGTTGAGGGAGAAGCGGACAGCGTCGAGCTGGGCCTTGCCTTCGGGCCAGTCATCCAGGTCAGGCTCCTCGTTGAGGTACCTCAGGCCCTTTTCGTACTTCTCAAGCGCAAGAGTGTAGTTGCCGGCCTTGAAAGCCTTGTTGCCAAAGTCCTTGCAGTCCGAAGCAATCTTGAGAGTAGTCTTGGCATCGGGAGGTTCGGCGCAGTCTTCGGGGAAGTCTTCGTAAGGGTCGCCCAGGGCATCAGGCTGCTTGACGTCGGCGGCAAGAGCTTCGTCTCCCGTGAGCTCTCCGCAGTCGGCGATGACGGCTTCGCGGGAGGGTCGGTCGCCAGCCTCGGTACGGACGTTTTCGATCTGGCGAACGATGGACTTGCCGTTCAGGACCTCGCCAAAAACCACGTGCTTCCCATCCAGATGCGGCGTGGGGACTGTGGTGATGAAGAATTGAGAGCCGTTGGTGTCTAGGTGAAAAATGCAAAGGTTAGCGCCGACTTGGAGACGTAAGAAGCTCATGGAGAGAGGGCAACATACTAGGTCCGGCATTGGCCATGGATAGGAGGAAAGGCTTGTCATGCTTCTTGGGGAAAGCCTCGTCTTCGAACTTGGCGCCGTAGATGGATTCGCCGCCAGTGCCGTCTCCAGCTGTGAAGTCACCTCCCTGTCAAGCTCATTGTTAGCGAACATGGCTTCAGCCTTGCAGGGGGAGAAGCGCAGAGCAAAGAGCTCATGCGACGACAGCGAGAGAGCAGGAGGAACTGAACCCTACCTGAATCATAAACTGCTTGATGACCCGGTGGAAGATGGAGCCCTTGTAGTGCAGGGGCTTGCCTGACTTTCCAATTCCCTTCTCACCAGTGCAGAGGGCACGGAAGTTCTCGGCCGTCTTGGGCACGAGATCAGAGTATAGCTCCATGGTGATTCGGCCGAGCGGCTTGCCGCCAAGCGTGATGTCGAAGAAGACGCGAGGCCGCTGGGGCTTGTTCTCGGTTTCGGAAGCCATGGCGAGGGATGTGAAGAGAGAGGAGATGCTGGTTTTCTTCCTAAGTAGTCGAATTGGTGTTGGAGAAGGAAGAGAAAAGAGGTTTTTGGTGTGATACAGCGGCTGAGAGACGTGCGCCTGCAGATGATTCCTTTGGCTTCTCTAAGGTAGACTATGACGCTGCGGGGTTGAGCTAGCAATTGGGTGCTTTGGCCAAGCTGCACTATGTAGGGTGAAGAGTGAGGGTGAGGGTATACAGATGCAGATTGTGAGAGGCAGAAGATGCAGATGAAGAGGAGAACAAGTTGGAGAGAGAGAAGGGGAAGGAGGGAAAAGAACTGGACGAGAGGGGAGCTACGAGGCTACAAGTACAAGAGCAAGGTACACCCGAAGGCCGTGGTGAGTCTGGACCAAGTGAATCCATCGCGGTACCTTGAGGTTGCTTACAGCGGGAGCCGGCCAGGAGGTATTGGCATGGAACCTACTAGTAGATCGGCGCGTGCCTTATTGCTTGCAGCTGTCGTGACACATGATTGGACGACGGCTCACTTGGGCTCGTGCTAATACGAAGCGCGAACAGCCCAACGGGAACGACAGACGACGGAACAAGCAATCAGATGCCGTGTCGTGATCAAATCTGTGCATCTGAGCCCCTCCATCGCTGCCCCTCCATCCTGGTGCCTTCTTCAGGCTTCAGGCAGGCATTTTGGAGTAGGTATTTTTGGGGTAGCGAGTTGTCTTAGGGGCTGTTAGTGCTGGCGTTAGTGTCCAACCCCCCGCCATCGTGGAAGTTTCTAGCACTTGACCACCAGTGAGTGGCTGGTTGCGCTTCTGGGCCGCAGCGCATGAAGGAACATTGGAGATTCCGCATTGCATGGATCCAGGATGATTTCTCAGGGATAAGGGATTGCGGGCGAGATGCTGCGTGCAATCTGCAGGCATCGTCATGTCGTTGTGTGCATGCACGGTTGTGGTGAGGAGCATTATCAGATGGTGGTGACGAGGCTATCGAATGATATAAGACGACGCAGATATAAGGTAGGTATTGATGCAGACAAAGGGAGCTCGCTGTATAACCGTCTATGAAAAGAACCGACTTTCTATCGTATCGTATATACGGAGTACATCATCCTCATTTCACAAGGTACCTACTATACTCACCTCTCGGAGACTGGGGCGCCCGCTTGGAGCTCCAAGGTGACCTGTCGATGCCAACGCCATCAGCCCCCCTGTCAGCAAAGCACTCCCTACAGTCGAGATGGCCTCATATCAGCACTTACCGGCCCGTCGTTGACCAGCGCAACCTCCATCATGGCCTGGAACTTGCCGTCCTTGACCCGATCCACCTGGTACATGTCCTTGACCTTCTGGACAAAGTAGTGATACAGCCGGCTCGCTTCTTCGGGGCTCGCTGCGCCGTGGAAATCCGGCTTGGTGCCCTTTTTCGTCTTTGCCAACAGCGTAAACTGAGATACTGGAGATTTCTATGAGCACCGAATGCCACGTCGTCAAAGGGATGGGACTCTGCTGCCACTCACCACATAGAATCTCGCCCTCAATGTCTGTCACGCTCCTTTTCCACTAACAACCGCCAGCCACATTAGCCATGTCTCAAAGCTCAACGGAAAGCCTTCACTCACTCGGCCCCCCTGTTCGTCATCCCATAGTTTCATTTTGACGACTTTGTTGGCCAGTGAATCGGCCTCCTTCTCTGTATCGCCCGGCGCAACGGCCGCAAACACCAACACGCCTCGGCCGATGGAGGAGACTAGCTCTTTTTCTACCGTCACAGACGCAGAGAGCACACGTTGGATGATTGCTTTTCATGGAGAGTCGTATTAGATATCGTTGCCTTGCTATTGAGTTCCGGTACATGATGCCACCCCAGCATGGCAGGGGTAAGGGGAAAGGAACAGGAAACATCATGCCTACCCTTCATTGTGAATGTCCTTTTCCACCGAGAGCACAAAAGTTGGAATGTCTAAACAAAGGACAATGGCAAGGCTGAAAAGACGAAGCTTAGAATCCAACAGCCGCCTCCTTGCTCACCCCTCACTCGGCGAAAATGCAATGTTGAAGGAGAGACGAGTGACTCTTAGTACGGGTAGGTACCTAGAACAATATCATCAAGGTGAATCTTAGTCCCGATACCGGTGAGATCTCGACGCCTTGGTGACGGAAAAAAAGTGGCTTGAATCACTAACAGATTGTGCCTCGATACTGAATCGCGTATCTATCCAAGTCTGTGTCATGTGAGAAACGGCTGTAGCCACCAGCCAGACATCCCACCTTGTCAGGTATCGTCTGATAGTGACGAGGGACGTGATATCACATAAACGCTGCTGAATCGTTGAGCTTGGATGAGAATAAAGGATCAATTGTGATGGAAAGCAATCTTCTGATCGGTAACTCGGACGAATAGCCCCAAATCCATCTTTGCCATGCTTGTTTGCTGCAATTCCCGACGGCCCGGCTAATCATTGCACAGCAGCCGGTACATGCCACTACTAGCCAAGTGCAGCCTCGCGACTTGGCCTCACCAACTTCAATCTCGCACGGTCACCAGCTTCACAAGCCAGATCCCGCCGCATCGCAACCGCCGGTCAGCGTCCCCGATCCGATCTCGAGAGTGGCCGTCTCTTGTCGCTTCCCTCTCGACTTGCTGCGCATCCCTACAACTGCCTCATCGCTGTCACGTGGCGCACGACGGTCGAATCCCCTCGCTCGCATCTCGCCTGCATAAAAACCACCTACCTTCGGCCATAAAGGTTGCCCCACGAAAACGAACCAAAAGCCTCGACCTCGCCCTCGACGAAACCTCATTCGCACCGCGTCTGCAGAGCCCCCCTGCACACGCACCCCTTAGAGGCCAGCGGCGGACTCTCCCACTCCCACTCAGACCACAGCAACAGGCTCAACCGGCAAGGACGCTGCTCGGCCGTTTCTCCCCTCCTCAACCGACAAAATGGCGGCGAGGAAACTACAACAAGAAGTCGACAAGTGCTTCAAAAAGGTGGCGGAAGGCGTCGCCGAGTTCGAGGCCATCTACGAGAAGATCGAGCAGTCAAATAACCCGGCCCAGAAGGAGAAGCTGGAAGACAACCTCAAGCGCGAGATCAAGAAGCTGCAGAGACTGCGCGACCAGATCAAAACATGGGCTGCCAGCAACGACATCAAGGACAAGGCGCCCTTATTGGAGCACCGAAAACTGATTGAGACTGTTGGTGGAACCCCCGTCATGTTGGGCATTGATGCATGTGCTGGCGCATAGGTACTGACTGTTGTGATTTCCTCTCGCCCCCCTCTAGCAAATGGAAAAGTTCAAGGCCGTGGAAAAGGCCATGAAGACCAAGGCGTATTCCAAAGTGGGACTCGAAGCCGCCGCGAAACTAGATCCCAAAGAACAGGCCAAGGTCGAGGCCTGCGAATTCCTCAGCAGCATGGTCGATGAGCTGGAGCTGCAGATCGAGACGCTCGAAGCCGAGAACGAGTCTATACAAGCCACCCTGAAGAAGGGCAAGAACAAGACTGCCCAGGAGACCCGCATGGCCGAGATCGATCAGATCATCGAGAGGCATAAATGGCATCAAGGCAAGCTGGAGCTGATTCGAAGAACACTGGAGAATGGCGGCATCGACACGGAGCAGGTCAACGCCCTTGAGGAGCAGATTCGCTACTATGTGTCCGACGGCATGAACGAGGATTACATGGATGATGAGGAAATCTACGACGAGCTCGACCTGGAGGAGGAGGAAGGCGTCTTCGGAATGGGCCAGGACACCGAGAAGAACTCCTCCCAGGACACGCAGTCCATACAAGATGACGTCCACGAGATCGAACCGCCGTCCAAGCCGAGGAAAGCCGCCAAGGATACCGATTCCACGACGTCGTCGACACGGGCAAAGTCCGCGCAGTCCAAGTCTCCCTTACCGGCGCTGGCGACGCTTCATACCCCGCTGTCTACAATAGGGGCTGGGGGCAGCGGCAGCCCTGCCATGAAGCCTGCCTCCATCCCCGCGCGGCCGGCAGGGGAGGGGCTCAAGTATGCGTCCGCCGCTGCCGCCGCCGCCGCCAGCGACAAGAACAATGTGGGCATCGCTCCTCTACCGCCGCCACCTGGAATCAATGTCGGTATCTCGCCGCTACCCCCTGCGCAGTCCAGAACAAGTGCCACCAACTCTCCCGCCGTCTCGTTCGTACAGCCCGCCCAGGCATCGTCGTCACAACCCTCCGAACCCAAGCAGCCTGCTCCTGCCGCTGCTCCCGTACCCGCACCTACACCTGTGGCCAACGAGAACGCCGAGCCTCCAAGTACGAAGTCGACGAAGAAGTCCAAGGCTTCAGGGAAGCAGCCGGCTACCTCAGAGGCATCATCATCCGAGTCTCAAAACGGTACGTTGTCCAAGGTCCCAGGATCGTCTTTTCCCTTTCGATTCCGCGTCCCCTTAACAGTCCAAGCTCCTACTCGTCACTCAAGTTCTCGCGCTAACAATTGGGAAACAAAAGCCCCTCCACAAACCAACGGACCTCCCAATGGATCTACTAATGGTGTCAAGAACGCTGCGGAAGAACGTGAAGAGGAGTCCATCTACCATCTACCTGCATCCTTACAAGATCTTGTCGACTCTTACGAGACAGCGCGGAAGCGGCCATATCAGCCGCTGTCACAGTCCACGCTAAACCTGCTGAGGGCGAGCGCACAAAACTATCCGAGTGCATTTGAGGCTGATATTCCGCGGACATATCGTCCGGACCTGCCCGTCCCGCAAACCGGTTCCGGATTCCCCACGCAGCCGCTGCCCATATTTGACGATCCCCGACTTTACTCGAGGATCGATCCCGACACGCTCTTCTACGTTTTCTACTACAAGCAAGGAACGGCACAGCAATACCTGGCGGCCAAGGCGCTGAAAGACCAGAGTTGGCGGTTTCATAAGCAGTACCAGACCTGGTTCCAGCGACACGAGGAGCCCAAGAATATCACCGAAGAATTTGAGCAGGGCACATACCGGTTCTTTGATTACGAGAGCACTTGGTAAGACATCCTCTCATTCTCTCCCACTTGTTCCTCCCTTATCTCGTCCGAGTACAGCCTGCTAATCAAATCTTCACAACAGGATGAATCGAAGAAAGGCGGACTTCAAGTTTGCTTACAAATTCCTCGAGGATGACATCTAGGAGGTTGTTGGCTTTTCACTATGGAACACGCACGGGCTAGGGCTGGGGGACTTTGATATGTTTTGCTCTGTTTTCTTCCGTGGCTTTTCGTCCATGAGGGTCCTTTTTCATTTTTCATCTCATCTCTTTCCTTCGGTATGGGAGTTCTAAAGAGAGCATCACGGTAGCTGCGAATAACACCAAGCACTGCCGAAGTTGGGTTTCTCGGACGGGAAATTAACTAGTGCCAGAATAATCCATATAAGGGCGGTCTTTGATCTGCACCCGGAATCTGTTGGCCATTTGCTTGCCATTCGGCTCTCCGTTTGTTTTTGTCCTTTGTCTCTCTTTGAGTGAGTGATTGTGCCGGAATTGCAGCCATGCTAGTTACTTTGATGTCGGGGCTCTTCGACTTCCGAGCAAGAAGGCGACTGATCCTCGGGCTCTTGGTGCAGGGTCCTTCCAACATAAACACCCTTGTGGTCGGTAGATGATAGGACTAGCATTTTGCCTAGTTCCAGAGTTTGGACTATGAGATTGTGAAGAGAAAACCACGAGAACGGCAGAGTTGTGAATATACCGGGCTGTCATGGAAAGAGAAACAGTTTGAGATACCTCGAGGCTAATTCCTGACAAGCACTTTACTTCTATGTTGGGTGATTTATATTCGTAGCACTTGGAAGATTATGCGAGTACTCTGCTGTTCGTAGAGTAAAGTATCCAGGGGTAGGGTTGGGTCGGGCTCGGGTCGAGAGATATAATTTCTCTTATTTCTTCCCGCTTCTTCTGCGGATGGGATTTCAACTCAAGGTGCCTGTGACAAAGGATTATTCATACGGGCGAATTATATCTAACGAGAGAGCTGGTTTCCTATATCAGACTATAGCTACTTTGAATAGCCCTAATTTATTGAGAAGCTGGCTGAAGATGATAGGCAATCCCCGCGCTGCAATGTATTCGGGTGTAGGGTTAGCGTCTGCATATCGAGATACTGCCTCACCTATCTTCTTCCCCCTTTTCTCCGTATAAGCCTTAGCTAATCCAAAGATGTCTCCGATCAATCGATCGTACCACTACTAAGTTTATCTAACAGATGATCTAGATGTCGAGATAAACTCCTGACCACCTTTACCATCGCCTCCCCGCATAGGCCATGAGTCAAGATGCCTGCTTGCTAAGGGGCTTGCTCAACCCCTCACGATCCTTCTTTCCTCACCCTTACGGGCGGGGAAAAACCGGTATGACTGCATCTGATCTCCTGTAGAGGCATGACTCGCCAAGGAGTACGGAATAGTACTGTAGACTTGTTCAAGGGGTGTGAGGGGAATGTAATTCTGGAGTGTGGGGATCTTGCATGTGCTTGCCCGTGATTCTAGGTACTTCTTTGAGGGTATTCGATAACTGGATACTGGGTGGATGGGGGTGGTGTCTTTGCATGTTGGAACTAGTGAGGGTGTGTTGTGGTGGGATCGAGATTTGATCTGGCATCTCGACGGAAGAGATCTAGAGATAGAGTGGACTCGTTCCTTGGTCTCGTGTCTGCAGGTACATACGGACGGGAGAGGCTGACGGCAGCCAGAGGACTATGGTCCACATACGACCTGGATAGACCATAAAGAAAGTGAGGATTTTCTTTAAGATCGTCTCTGACTGTTGTGTTGATACCCGTTTGTACTGGGGTTGTCCGTTCATGTTGATAGAAGACATCAAGGTAAGAAGGGCGGGGACAGCTGAAATGTGAAAAGAACGTTGATAGGACAGAATAATGAAGCAAACGGACTCGGTACATACGGTAAACGCTCGCCATTGGCAGCTGGGAGCTGAAGCTGTTTGAAAAAAAGGGGGGGCCGATGGGCTGTTCACGATAAGTGCTCTGAATCATTGAGGAAAGCAACTGTGAGTTTGCAGTGAGATTGGATAGGAAACGCAAGTGACTGCAGGTGTAGAAGCAGCTCCGTTTGCCTTTGTTTTGTTTGTGCAGTCTGAAGGGGAGTATATGTCTGATTCTTCTCTCTGATTTCAAAGGACGGTAACTTGCACACTACAAACTCTTGCATCCCACTTCGCACAAGAACTGCACTTGAGGATTAAAACCCCCTACTACCCGGTGAGCAAACAATCAGTGTTGCAGATGCGTTTTCAGCAAGGCTAATTCAATAGGGCCAGAATCATCACGAAAATGAGTGTTGCCGGCAACCAGTACGTCACTTGGTACGACCCAACCACCAAGGAGGAGCTCAAGGCTCGACGAGCCACCACCTTTCAAAGAGGCAAAGGCAAGGGCAAAGGCAAGGCGAGCGACGCTGACGACGGCATGCAAGGCATGACCGACCCGGACACGGTCAACTTCAAGACCACCGTCTTCAACAAGGTGGCCAAGTCCTTCTCGGCGCTCTTCAGCGACCACGCGGACCGGTACGAGCGCCGCAAGGAGGCCCCCGTCGGCTGGACCACGGCCGGCGAGCTCGGCTGGCTCCGGGAGGAGCAGGATTCGCAGTACATGCTCATGGAGGAGCTGGAGCTCAAGATTGAGGAGTTGAAGAAGGAGCTCACGCAGCAGCAGGAGCTCGTCAAGGCGTACGAGGTCAAGGTGGCGCAGCACGAGGAGTACCTGCAGTACTGCATGCACTGGATCACCATGGCGCAGGTCTTTGGGGATGTTCCCGTTGCCAAGGAGCGCATGAAGTGGAAGTCTGGTCTTGCTGCGTTCGAGGAGGACAAGGGCGAGGATAAGGACGAGGATGAGGCTATGGGTGAGGATGCTAAGGGAACCGTGGCCTCGGGCAGTCGTCAGGCAGACTTCCAGTAGACGACGGCATGGAGCACGCTTGGAGTGGTTTCTTCTTTTGTCGTTGGGTCTCGGAAAGGTTGGTTCATCAAGGCGGTATTCTCTCGATCCATTTGGCTGGATATCAAGCCAGACACTCTACTAGACTGCCATCAGGTACATTAGCCTAAAAACAACAGCAAAATGAGTGTTCTAGAAAGTCTTCTGCGGAGTAGAGATGCCGCAATGTCGGAACTTTCCATGTTCCCTGTCTCTTGTCATGCCCAAAAGGTCCAGCAGAATCCAGATGGTCGACGTGTCATGCCTACTAAGGCAGTCTAGATATGCATGCCTTTTTCCGAAGTCGGTCTTTGTTCCGAGGTAGTTTCCCATTCTCTAACTATTTTATTTGTCGAAGAAGCCGCTCCTGCCATTCTTACTTGCCGATCCGCAGTCGCAGTTGCCGAGATCCAAGCCGTACTAGCGCCCAGGGAAGGCGCACATCATGCATTTTGGATCATCTCCTTCATGGATTCTTCCGTCCTCCCAGATCTCGATGGACAAGTGACATACATGGGTAGGCAGGTGCAAGTCACTACCTACTACCGCTGCTCTTTGCTCTTCTCCGGCAAAACCCTTCTTCTCCCTTTTCCACTTTCGCTTCCAGATGCTTCTCCCTATTGCAGCCGGGCGTTTTGCTGTCGGATCTCTCTCGCCGTCTTTCGGGCTTCTTGTCTATCTGCCCTGTCTCGAGATGCCCGGCTGGGCATACGAAGCCGAGTACACATGGCAGTCCTTTGTCGTCCCTTGATCTACTACAATCTGACACCGCTTCGACCGCCTCGATAAGTTTTGCCGGCCTTGGAAGCCATGTGCCCTGACCACCGAGACCAGCAACCGATTTGATCTAGCCAAGTTCATCACTAAGAGTGGCCGGAATCCTGCGTTATCTTCGCCCACTAAACAAGCCCAAGCAAGTGGAAGCTACGAGCAGATCATGAGCGGTGTTGCCGCTTGCGGGGAGATGAGTCTGTAAGCCCGAGTTGTGAGATCGCCATGAGCATCACCAGCAGGTATAGCTTGTGCTGAGATGGTTCTAGGAAGCAACCGGGCATACATTTCGGCCAAGTGTGGCCATATCAGCATCCGCCATTGCAAAAGTTTCGTCACACCTCTCCGGGGCATCGCTTCCGCGATGTTACAGCCGAAGCATAGGGCGGCGTGTACGAAGTACAAAAGACGCAAATCTGCTAAGCCTTCGCCATGGTTTCCCGGTGACAGGGACCTAATGTGCTTCTGGTCGTCCCCCGACCACCTTTCTGCTCCTACAGGTTGCGGAACTTTTCCTGGGCGCTTGATGCGCTACAACGAGAAGTCGTGGGGGGCACGCTGACGAAGAAAATTTGTAATGGCTTCACCCAGGAACTGGGTCCCAGACGAGAAAGAGAATATGGGAAAGGCTTGCGTTCTACCTCTCGATATAGGCAGTCGCCTTTACTGGCTTACATGGTTCTCCGTGACAGTGGAAAGCTCCATAGTTGGACCTCGACGACGCCCTTCCATGAATCATTTGGACGCTCTGTGGTGTTTCGCAACATGGAATCTCGGTTTGTCTCGTCGTTCCCTGGGATTACGTTCGAAACCAAGTGATTCAAACCCAGCGCTAGCCGGACACGCAGCAACCGTGAACTGTGCCAAGAGATGCAGCCGCTCGTGTCCTGCAGCATCTCCTCTGACACCTCCTCCTAGTTCCCTGGTCCCACCCCCGACGACAACTGTCAAATCTTGAGCACATGAGATGGTGGTCGACAAGCAAAGCAATGCCGTACCTGGACTGCGACCAGCGTGCCTGTCACTGCACTCCTCCCTGCCAAACGGTGTGTGTCATTGGCTGGTCAGTTGGACTGCCAGTGATTCCGACATCTCATGCCGGCATGCTTGTCTAGGGAGTATACTATAGTAGTTCACATCTTGAGGCTCACGGGTAAGCCACATACTGGCCTTTGGGATTCGGGATTCGGGAGATGCGGTCACAAGGTTCCCCCGGGAGTCTCGAGGCACTTTGCGAGAAGCATCTTGCACTTGCCCCTTCAAAGACTAATCTTATTGCCCGAAGCACGTTTTCCATAACGGCATGGGTAGTTGCGACTCTGTATGCACGCCAGCGTGGTGAGAAGCAGCGACTTGCTTCGGGGTAATTAACCCTCGAATGAGCCCTATCCGTGTTGACGGCTGGAAAAAACGGTCATTGTTGGCGTCGTGTGGCTTGCATTTCTCGGCCAACCAGTGGTGCTGAGACTGGGACTAGGGGACCCCTCGTGGTTACGACCGTTTGGGAGATTTTTGCGTTGTTGCGTGCGTGCGTCTCTGCTCGCGACCCCGAAGCTCGTGCTCTGCTACCCTTCTCCAGGCCGTTGTTGACCGCGATTGGCCAATGGACGGCGAACAACCTACACTCGATCTGACGCTGCCGAATCTGCCGAGTCATCAGATTTTCCAGCACGGCCGCGGTCATCTCGACTGTCGCTTGTTTTAGTGCCTGGGATCTCTGCACTTGCTCTCCACCGTTCCTGTCTTTGGCAAGCAGCACAAGATGCTAAAGTGAACAATGCCCAAACGGCAGATGCAACATTGCGCATTTGCCTGTATGATGGGGCGGCAAGGGTCCTGAAAGCGGAGCCCCTACAAAGCTCGATGGGTTGTGAAAACCGGTAGCTGGGGTTTCCTGGGAGCTCTCTGCAAGTTACGGAGTACAGAGGCCAGCATATTGGATAGGCTTGGAAGCAGAATGGCCGCCAAGGTTCAGCCGCACGAGCTGTCAAAGCCATGAACCGACCTACAACTCCAACGGGACCGGATCGGGAAACAGTGGCCAATGGAGATTGGTTGGTTAACCAGGAATGGCTTGGAGGGTCGCGACTCGGCTCTTCACCTGGTGGTAGTATCTCTATGTTCTCTACGGGAGCGAGATATGAGTTCTTGCTCTGCGGTATGATGATGGATCTTCTCGCGGGTCCGCAAAGGGTTTACTTGGTACTAGTACTACTACAGGGTCTGACCATCCATCTCCACATGGCTCTGTCCATTCTGCATGTCGCACAGAGTCCACTCCCTACCGGACGGCGGTCCGTGTCGAGGCCTTGACCTGATGCCTCACTTGCTCGACGCCCCTCCGCATAAGGTTTTGCATCGACGAGCAGGCTAGCGGATACCTCGACGTCACCCTTGGAACAGGTACTTCTGAAGAGCAACCCTGGCATACTTCCGCCCTACCGGGCTCCATACCTACGCGCCAAATCTAGATAGCTTCTAGAAGCCGTGCTGCCGATGTTACCTCAAGGATGAAGGTACATACCAGAGTACGAGGTCGAGGGTTCGTTATCTGCTATTCCTTGTGTTGAAATAAACACAGCCCTTCCCCTGGTCACGCTCAGATGGGCAAGCTATGCATATATACAAGTACCTCCGGCTGCGTCGTCCCTCGAGCATTGGACACAAAAGCTGCCGACTGCCCTCGTCTTGTTGTCTCGAGTCTCGAGCTACCTCCTCATATCGTTCCATAACATCGTCTTCTACCTTGTGTTGCCAAGGTGGCCTCTTATTGTTTTGCCATTGCGTACGAGACGTATACAAACAGCTTCGCTTGACTTGGACGAGCCATTGCTCACCCAAGTTTCGTTCATTCCGGCAGTCGATAGCTGCTCAGCTTCGTTGAAGACATCGGTCGTTCGCCATTGAAGTATTCATGCATACGAACACAATGACGGACGACACTTTCCAATTGAGCTCGTACAGCCAGCTCTGCATCGACGCTCGGCTATATGACGAGAGCCTGATGTACGAAGATGCTCAGATGGGCGAAGCGAACCTGCCGTATGACAACTGGTTTTCCTTCGATATCAACGGCCACGCTGCCATGGTAGACGCTTCAAAGCTCTGCGATCCACAGCCTGTGTCTCTGTCCGGGGGCTCAGAAGGGGGCTCAGAAGCGAGCTCCCCCGCATCGCCGACCTCGACAGACTCCTTTTACACACACCAGACCTCGCGGGACCCCAGCTTATCTTACTTCCCGCCATATGCAAGCGCCAGCACGCCTGCGTCGTCGGCCTACAGCAGTCCGGATGCCACCACTGGCCAAGAAGCGGCCTCGCCCTCGGAATCGCCAACGTAAGTTGCCCTCTGGAGCGTCCGAAGACCGCCAGCAGCGGCATTCGCGGTTAACCGATTTGAGCATAGGTTTGCCTCAAGTGGCCGCGACTATCCAGTTTGCTGCCTCCACCCTGGCTGCGATGCGAAGCCCTTCAAGCGTCGCGCCGATCTTGACCGTCACTACAAACACAAGCACGCTCCCTCTTCTCAGAAGGACTCGTATCACTGCGATTATGCCCGCTGTGGCCGGCGTCGCGATCCCTTTCACCGCCGCGACCATTTCCGCGACCACCTGAGAGACTTCCACAAGGAAGACATTGAGAAACGTGGAGTTGCCGCCAAGGAAGACTGGTTCGAAGGCCGCAATGCTTCACACACCTGGTGGCGGTGCACCAAGTGCCTCAAGAGAGTCTACATCAGCCGCCAGGGTTACGAATGCCCTACTTGCAAGACATCCCTGCAAGCAAAGCGAAAAGAGATTCGCCGGCGAGAGTAACCGAAAGAGACGAAGAAACCCAAATTCACACAGGGGCTCTTGTGTGCTTCAACCACAGCGGCGTCACCAACCACTTACACACCCCTGACCCCCCTACCGCTGCCTCCTCCTCCTTCTGACTACATGCATTCACATCCCACCAAACAAAGCTGTGCGCTCTGGACGGACCGCGCTCCTGTCCGTCAGAGTTTCAACTTTTGCATCTGCCGACATACCATTACATAGAGGGGATCAGCACTTCCCAGCGAAGCTTACGGGATTGGCTTTGATCATCACGTTCTATTTTAGCATCAGCCTGTGCTTTTCCTTATTCTCTTCTTCTTTTCTCCTCATGCAAGCCAAACCCCATGCTACTACCATGGGTACATAATAGCTACTTACGTAGCAGGTGCCACTTAGCTCCAACCAAATGATGAAGTTATCAAGTCTCACTTGTCCGAGATGAGTGCAGAGAGCTACTTGCTCAGTACCTCTCGCCTTGGGACTCGCTCATACTTGCTTGTGGTGTGCATATCAAGCCATGACGAACTAGCATCGCGATTTGCTTCCTCCGCTCTTTCAGCTATGCCAGCTAAGCCCGGGCCTAGCTTCAATTGTGAGCAAGCAAGCACCAGTGGCTGGACCGGTCGACTTCACCACTCTGACTTCCCCTCCTGTGGCTCACTGCCGGGCTTTTCACCATCAAGTCATAAGGCTCATCCAATACAACCTCAGGCAGCCCTTCCCATTCCTCCTTCTCCCGCCCTATACGGTCTACCTACCAACCCATGGTTACACTGTCACCAGGCGAGCAGGGATCATGAACGAAAGGCTTGCATGGCTGGTAGCGTTGGGCTGGCTGGGCCCCCCCGACGCCGTTGCTCTTGTTCTCTTCATCAAAGTGGCGCGCCGTTCTATCAACGAGGCACGAGCACACACACACACTCACATCCATCTCACTCACACACACTTTGGGGAGATTTGGGCTGATTGGAGGGGGGAGCGGCGTCCGATTGGCCGCCAATGACGATTGGGGGCTTCATGTGTCTTTTTGCTTTTGGGGCAAAGTCTCTTTAATGAAGAAGCCAAACAAGACGGTTGGAAACTTGGGCATATAAAGTATTGGTATTTGTGTTTTCGTTTTTGCGTTCGTTTACTCAATTTGGCAACTGGGCAAAAATACTTTCGGCAGTTCTGTTTGTCTTCAGGCTGGGATTCGGCGTTTGGCAAGCAGAAACGTTCTTGTTCCTACACATTTCCAGTGATTTTCTGGGGTTTCCTTGTCTTTGTTGCTTTTGCCTTCCCCCCACACCACCTGCCCCCCTTATTCTTCACATCAAGGAATACTATACAGAATAGACGACAGATGCTCGTGCATTGTCCGCGATGACGAGCGAGCTGCGCGATCACATCTCACCTTCAAGGAAATAAACCGCAAATGATGCGATAAGACCTGACGGGTATCGTATCGTATCGGCTCGGTTCAGCAAGTGGCGGCTAACATTGGCGCTGGGGTAACATTGGCACGAAAAATCGGGGCGCCGGAGCATCTTCAACGGCTCTATTGAAGTTGCTAGTCGGATGCCAAAGCTTTTCGGGTTATCAGAACTTGGGACACAGGGCTGCCGTTCGTGCTTTGTCATTTCATTGTCTTGTGCTCGCCCCTTGCGAGTCATCCCTGTGCGCCGCGTTGATTCAAGCAAACGAGCAGGCACGAATCCTCCTCCAATCGTCGCGGACTCTCCCCGTTAACCTCGTAGCTACTAGTCCATCTCGAGCACATTCCTTCGCGCCTCCTACGCAAACAGACTTTGAACCGGCCGTTACACTCTGCGAGATAGCTGCATGGCCCTGCAGCACGAGGCTGGCGGCGTGCTTCCCACGGCAGAATCTAGACTTGCTCAGATTCACGCCTTTCAAACTCTGTGGCTTTCCCCGTCTTGACTTGAACCAGGGCCTCCTTTTTTCCATCTTGGCTGGTTGGCTGGCCTGCTGTGTAGGTGAAGCCGTTGGGCTCTCGTCGTAGGCGGCATGCATCCCGCCCCTTTGGGCCGGGCCTGGGAGCTGAAGACAGCATGATAATTCGGCATAGGATAGGCCAGCAAAGTTCCTTCTCGAAGCGTCTGGCTGCAGTAGTTTTGCTCTTTTACCGGTCGTGAGGCAGGTCTGTCCGAGAGATTCTGTAGGACATCATGATCCAAGCACAGAGCCTTTGGAATATACTGCATGGAAGTTGCTGAAGCTTGCTAACCAAAGCACTAACACGCACTCCCATGCCGCTCGCCGACGAGCTTGTACGGCACATGCATATGGCCACACCGTGTGCAGTGGAGTTGCTCACCACATCATCTGCCTTATTCGAATGCTTTCGCGAGAAAGATAGTAGATAAGGGTGGGTAAAAGAGCTTTACATCTTTGTCTGTTGTTCCGAAGCGGTTTTGGCTCATGGTGGCTTTCAGCGTGGCTGGTGATAGCTTCACAGCACATTGCGGGGGTGGCCGCCTCCAGCGAATCGATGTGGTGGGATATGCTCGTGGAAGCCATGCTCCTGCATGGACAAGCCCCTGGCCGCCACCACCAGCGAGCTTGTCGCCATCAGCGCACCCAGCCGCTTACACAACACCCACGGGGGTATCTTCGGCCAGACACGCACGGATTGATGAGGCGGGATGACAGCGTGCCGTCGGGGCTCTGGCGCCGGAACCGCGGTCGGCGGCACGTGGTCCTGGGACTCCAGGCTTGTCTGCAGTTGAGCTTGAGCTGCCCTGAAGACTCCACAGCTAGCTCTCTGTCGCCGGACTCCGGCCGGCGGGGACCGCGTATGGCTGGGCCTGTCCTGTTGCGTCTTGCGCTCCCGCAAAAGCGTCTGCATCGCCGTTCAGCTTGGAATATCGCATTTGTCGCTTGCCCATGCTGCATTCCAGGTGAGCGTCCCATCGGTCCCGGGAGCAGATTCTCACCAGGCTCACCCTTGCAGCTACACGGCGGCGGCTCAATCCCTCGACCCCCACCCCTTGATTAGCTGCTCATGTCTGAGCATGTCGTCGTCGCCTTTGCAGCTTCTGACCGCACTAAAACTTCGGCAGTTGTGTTTTTCAACCTCGCGTGGGTCCTCATCCGTTCGCATGCGGTATTCCGTATCCCGTATTATCACCCCTCCCCAGAAGCTGATGCTGTTGCTCGTCCACCATCTCGGCTATATGCTTCGAAATGGCATATGATACGCGGATGTTGAATAATTTCTCCGTCAATTTGTCGCTCGGCATCGAAGTTTGGGAGTCTGCATCGGTGACTGAGTGGTTGCCACTCCCTGAGCTGGTATGAGGCACGAGCGGATATCCTCAAGGATCTCGGCGAAGTCAAAATCGGAGTGTCCATCGATTGGTCCTGCTTCTGTTGGAATGGAGCTCGGCCCTAGCTTTCATCCTAGCCACTGTCTCCATATGCGCTCTTCATCTGTTTCAGTCTCAGGCATGATTCCATCATCACTGGCTTGCACGGCTATGCTATCCGTAGAGTCGATCTCGGATGATAATGACGCCAATGTTGGTGATTCTGGTGCTGATTCGCAAGCACATTCTGGAAGCGGGCGCTGAAACCCTGGTGGAGTTGCTCCCATCGTGTGGCTTGTCGAATTGTGAAGCTCTACGAGACGAGATGCTCGACTTTTGCAAGGAGACGACAGTGTTGGATGACTACTTGACGAGGAAGAAACTGTCAAAACCTCTTCCATGAGGTACGATGCGCTGGTCACATCTGTTGACTGTATTTTACTCCTTGGACTTTCGGGTGCTGCGCTTTGCGTCTGCAAGCATTCGCCGTAGGCGGGAATTCCAATGGAATTCCTCGACTCGCTCCATCGATAGTCTTGACTGCCCACTCGTATTTTGATTGAGATGGGTGAAGGCGTGGCCTGCCTCAGCTTTCTTTTTCGATTGTCTCTCTGTCTGCCGACTTCCGAGTGCTTGTGATGGCCTGAAGACGCCCCTTGTTGCTGCTGTCGCTCGGAGGTATGACTGAAGACGGTCAAGTAATCTCTTTCTCTTCCGACCTGCAGGTGAAGTCTCGGTATTCTGGTCTCGGCTGAATCGATCCTGTTCAGAAGCCTCCGGAATCCGGCCTCTGGCCCATAAGCACCTATAGAGCGGTCTCTCACTGCCTGGTCCGACAGAGACGGTCTATCATCTTCTGCTAACGGATATGCTATTGGCAATCGAGGAACATCCCTTGGCAGACTTTTCGTTTCGTCTCCCAGGCCTGTCGACACCTCAGCAGCAGCAGAAAGAGGCTTGCCGCCCAGCGCTGATGGAGATAGCGCCGATGAAGGGCTTGCTTTAGCTTCGTGTAGGCCTGCAGTAGGGTTCTTTGACGGAGATGTGTAATTCGGTATAAAATTAGCAGCAGAGAGGGGGACGGGGGATCGAGATGCAGTCTGCTCACGCTGTCGAGAGCGTGCCTTGGCAAAGTATTCCTTTTGGCGAGCCATTTCCTCTTTCCAGCCTTTTCCACGACGATGTCGAGAGAGGTTTCCTCCCATCCAGTTCATGTTGAAGCTGCTGACGGACAGAACAGAGAAGACCGAGTGATTCCTGCTCAAGTGGAGAGACGATGACACTAACGATGGTGACTAGGAGATCAGATGAGAGAAGGGAGAGATGAAGAGCATCAGAGGCAGAAAATGATGTTCAAGGGAGTGAGGGCAGTTCAAAGCTGAGGAGGAACGACTTTGAAGCGAAGAGGGTTTTTGCATTATGTCATGTGCTGGAATTGGCATCACGAGGCAGGAGCAAACCTGAATATCCGTCACGATATCGACGCCATCGAGGACTTGCTACAGTAGAGGCCCAGGAGGCTCAGGACCTCTGTTACTGCTGCTATGGGCATTCGAAAATAGCTCCTATAAGAAAAAGGGAAATGTCGATCGGAATCAAAGCCATTTTGCTGGAAGTTCCACAATTCAATCAACCAGGCGTAGAAATAAAATCAGATGTTTTTTCGATACCTATTGGGTTGGCATTCTGCACCGCAGTGACTTCCTCCCTTGATGCACGACACAGTATGCGATGGGACTGTGCGTGGTCGGCACTGTATAGGCTGCCAACACTGGCCACCTATGACGAAGGTCCCGCCAGAAACAAGGGCAACACAACAGGACCGCGTATCGTCAACAGCTCAGGAAGCATCAGCACGACTCACCACAGCTGCCTCTGCCCCCCTCCAATTGACCATGGCGGACGCAGCAGAACTGGAGCGCCAGAAGCAGGAGAAGATTGCGGCCGCCAAGAAGCGCGTGAGCATCCCACTTCGTCCCCAGCATCCAGTCGGCCTATCAAGGTGTTTGCGCTTCTAACAGATGCTGCTGCAGGTCGAGCAATTGAAGAAGAAAAAGAAGAAAGGGGCCAAGTCGGATTCCAAAGCCGAAGCTGAGGCATCCGCTCCCGACGCCGCAGAAGACACCTCAGAGCAGCCCCAGCCGAGCGAGCCAGATGCCATGGACGACAAACCCACCGAAGATGACAAGCCTGCCGAGGACAACACAGCTGTCGAGGAGCCCAAGGCCGAGGAAGAGGCAGAAGACAAGGCCGTCGAGTCGCCGCCATCCGAGACGCCATCCCTGGCGCAACAATCAAAGCTCAGATCCACGTCTTTTCGCGCCGGCTCGGGGCCAATGTCACCCGGACCCTTCAACCCCGAGGGTGGCGATACGGCTGCCGACATTTACAGAAAGCATGTGGCTAGGATAGAAGAGCTGGAGAAGGAGAACAAACGCCTCACCAAGGACGCATCCGACTCGGAGAAAAGGTGGAAGAAGGCAGAGGAAGAGCTGGCCGACCTGCGCGAATCTGATACGAAGGGCGGCAAGGATGATCAAACAGAGAAGTTGGTATGTGTTAGGAAAGGGGGGAGCAGGATAACTCTCTACCCCGTTTCGCATGCTCAAACTCTCTTGTGCTAACCATGCCGCAGAAGGAGGAGATTGCATCTCTACAGCGTCAAAACTCCCAATTACAGCAGCAAGTGTCACGGAACTCTGGCCATGCTCATCGTCAGTCGGTGTCAATAAGCGCCTCCCCGCCGTCGCTCCAAGCTGAGCTCGACGCCAAATCAGCCACCATTGAGTCCATGGAGATTGAAATTTCCAAGCTCAAGGCTCGTGTTGAGCGACAGGAGAGCGGCGCGTCATCGGAGAAGGAACAGATCGCCGCGCTGGAAGACAAGGTGGCGCGCGCCGAAGCAGCAGCCGGCAAAGCTCAGCGTGAACTGCAAGACGTAAAGAAGAACCTCGAGCGCACGACGGAAAAGGCGGTCCGCGAAGGCAGCGAGCGCACCAGCGCAGAGACCAAGGCGAGGACGCTGGAACGTGAGCTAGAGGAAACCAAGAAGGCAAAGGAAGAGCTAGAGAAGAAGGTTGAGGCGCTAGAAAAGAAGGTGGCGGCATTGACCACGCTGCACAAGGAGCAGGACGCACGATCACAAGCTCTGAGGAAGGACAAGGAGAAGGCAGAGGGTGAGGTACGGGAGCTGCGATCCAGGGCTGAGAAGCTGGAGAGCGAAAACGCCAGGCTTGCCAGTCGTAAGTCGACAGACGGCGGCGGCGGTCTCGACGACGAGGGCGTGGATGAGCTCGAGGATGAGGGCAGGCGCAAGCTGGAGCAGAGGATTCGCAGCCTCGAGGCAGAGAATCACGAGCTTCGCAGCGGCGCTTGGATTGAGAGACGGCGCGAGATGGAGGCCACTAGTCCCGGCTTCGACGACGTGGATCTCTCGGGCAACAACCACGCGCCTGCCCACAAGAAGGGGTCGACAGCGGGGGGCATCGGCGAGTTCATCGCGCATGGCCTGAACGCCCTCGCCGGAGGAGGCGACGATGACCTGCTGGACGACGACGATGTAGAGTTCGACGAAGAAGCATTCCGGAAGGCGCACGAAGAAGAGTCCAAGAGGCGGATAGAGAGGATCAAGGAGATCAAGAGGTCGCTGAAGCACTGGGAGGGATGGAGGCTGGACATTGTGGATGTGCGGAGAGGCGGAGGGCAGGGCATTGGGGATATATTTGATATTTAAGTTCTTGTGTTGCGCCTAGAGATGCTAATATACGCTGATGAAGCCGAGTTTACTCAAGAGTCCATGGACCATACGATGAATCAAGCACATATCCCAGATTGGAGGCACCTAAGTATTAGAATATTCAAAGCCATGTCATTCAGGGGCAGTGATCTGGCGCGCGCCCTGTGACATCATCAGCCACGCGTGAGATGGGGTTCAAGTCAAGTCATGCACATGTAAGCGGGGAGAGCGGATCATAAGCATTCATTCTTCAACTTCATCTTCTTTCACTCACCTTCCACCAATCCTCACCAGAATGGCGCCGGGCCCAAAGACGTTCCTCATCACCGGAGCCGGGCGGGGCATCGGCCGCGGCCTGTCTCGGATCCTGCTGCAGTCGGGCCACCGCGTCTTCCTCATCGACAGCAACAAGACGGAGCTGGAGCACACGGCGGGCGTGCTGGCCAAGACGCACCGGCGCGGGCAGGACTTTGACGCGGCGCTGTGCGACGTGCGGCTGCCGCAGGAGATCCGGGAGGCGGTGCGGCGGGCGGACGGGCTGTTCGGCAGCAGGCTGGACTGCCTGGTGAACAACGCGGCGCACACGGGCGGCGTGGGCGGGACGAGGCTGGCGGACATGACGCTGGAGGAGTGGAACCGGAGCGTCGAGACGAACCTGACGGGGCCGATGCTGGTGACGCAGGCGTGCCTGGGGATGCTGCGGGCGGCTCGGGGCTGCGTGGTGCACATGTCGTCGACGCGGGCGGTCATGAGCGAGCCGGACAACGAGGCCTACTCGGCGACCAAGGCCGGCTTGCTGGGCTTGGCGCAGAGCATGGCGGTGTCGCTGGCGAGGGACGGGGTGCGGGTGAGCGCGGTGCTGCCCGGCTGGATCCACGTGCTGGACGAGTGTCGCGAGGCGGACGAGAAGGGGGTCCGGTGGGAGGACGGGCTGAGCGAGGAGGACATGCGGTGGCAGCTCACGGGGCGGGTGGGCAAGGTGGAGGACGTGGCGAGGGCCGTGGTGTATCTGGCGGAGAATGAGGGCGTGACGGGGGTGGAGATGGTTGTTGATGGGGGGGTTACGAGGAAGATGGTGTATCCTGAGTGAGGGTTGTCATATCACGGAGAGGGCGGATGATGTTAGATGTTATTGTGTTGGGTTCATGGGGATGGGTTCATGGGGAGAGGCGAGAGCACGACATCAGGAGAGCAAGATATCCATATCAAGCCGAGGCAAGTGACGGATGATGGAAGTTCCATTATTACAAGAAACACATGATTCAGTCTGGATGCTGTAAAGGAGGTTTCCCCCTGCATCGACTGACCTGCGGAAGAGACGGAGAGTGCGGAGAGAAACTGTTGCATCGCTGCCATCTCCAATTCTGGACTCTGATGCCCGTCCTGTCGTCCTCATTCGACGCAACCCCGCACGCACGACACTTTGGGAGTTTCTGTTTCCAGCAGTTGGCTATTTCATGGTCGCGCGGCTGAGTCCGGGTAAAGGGATGTTTTGTGTATGGAGTGTGGCATGTGTTGTGATGGATGATGCGTGGGGAGGAGGAGAGAAGATGGTGAAGCTGGAGAGGACATGATAGTATCTTTTGAGTTGAACCTACCTACATACAGCCACGGGCACCTACATACATACTACATACTACTCGCACATTATTACACATTACTGCCTTCGTTCGACGACAACATGTTACCACTACTAATATTACCTCCATCCAGCTTGGCACTCAATGACTGAGCAACGAGAGCAGCTCCTACATCGGCGTCGATCGCGATAATGCAGCGCAGAGCTACATGCGAGCCTGTCATGCAGCTTGCTCGGCTGGAAGCCAGTAATAAAATCTCGTCGAGTTACTAATATCCGGGCCCTTGCAGTGGATCGGGTGCTCCAGCTGTGGGGGAGGCTCAAGACATTGCCTGTCAGCCGAAGCTTGCTCCATGTCCGATGCTACTACCAAGAAGAGAGAGAGAGAGAGAGGAGAGTAGAGGCAAAGAACAACTCACTGCCAACAATTGTATGCTATGCGATGGATTCGATGATGCTCACAATGCAGATATCAGAGGAGAATGGATGATTCCAGCAAATGGATTATTCATAGAGAAATAAATACCGACAGCTGATGGACGTCTTCAATATACTGCAGACTGCATCGGATGGGTCTTACAGCTCCGTTGTTCGGCGTCGTGAAGCTATCGATACCGACTAAGTAGATTGATAACGACGATTGCTTCTACTTTTTTTGTTCCTCCTCTCTTATTACATGCTCCTCTCTACTCCCGGCCTCGTCTGTGTCATTCGTATATAAAACCCCCCCGTCTCATCCCTCGTCCCCGGTGTCCTCTCTTCTCAGAATTCAGCAAAAAATCCCCTCAGTTGTTGCAGTTGCATCCCAGTCGATCTCCGGTCGGGTCCCCGCGCGTTCTCCGATCCGCCTTCACCCCACCATCCCACCTCTGTTCGCAAGAGGCGCATCGCATCGCAATCGGCTCTCCGTCTGCTCTTTCGCGCTTCGCCACTCGTCGGACATTCAACAGCGATCTTGGGTCTGTTCGTGATATTCACGCAGCTGCGAGACTGGACCAAGATAAAAAGACGCCAGCACGGAAATCATACGAACCGTGAAGAGAATCGCAAAGAGGACGGGATTAAGCCAGAGACAGTCCCTCCACCGGCTATTCCACCCTCCCGCTATCGGCTCCAGTCAACGACAGCTCGTTCTGGGATCGTTCTACCAAGCTCAACTACACCAAACCCCATCTACCTATTTTTCTTCTTTCTTCCTTTTTCTTCATAGCAAACTCGCCCATCATGAGTCCCGCTCCTCGCCTCCTCGCCGGCCTCTCCCGCCGCGCCGCCCTCCGGCCGCTGCAGCCTCTCCGGGCCTCCTCCTTCGGCGCCGTCCAGACGCTCTCCGTCGCCGCCCTGTCCGCCCGCAACATGGCCACCGCCAGCAAGATCAAGGTCAAGAACCCCGTCGTCGAGCTGGACGGCGACGAGATGACGCGCATCATCTGGAAGAGCATCAAGGAGCGCTTCATCTTCCCCTACCTCGACATCGACCTCAAGTACTACGACCTGGGGCTGGAGTACCGCGACCAGACCAACGACCAGGTCACACTCGACGCCGCCGAGGCCATCAAGAAGTACTCTGTCGGAGTCAAGTGCGCCACCATTACCCCTGACGAGGCCCGTGTCAAGGAGTTCAACCTCAAGCAGAGTAAGCTTTGATTCTTCCCCCCGAGATCTCATATGCCCCCCCCCTTATCTAACATGTACACTCCCCAGTGTGGCTCTCTCCCATCCGCACCGCCGGCTACTACTACCCGACGAAGGTCGGCCCCTGCTCCGCGCCCTACGCTCCCTACTGTTACCCGAGCGCCTTCTGCCACGGCGGCTCCCGCAACGCCTACCACGGCA